TTGAAGTAAATGACCTAGCAAGCAGATAAAACTATACACATTAGCCAATTCAAGACTTCATGAATTTCTAAAGCTAAAAGTTTTGGCAAAAAGTATGAGGACGGGGTTAAGAATGTGTGGTCAGGTGGCCTTTCCCATTCTGAAAATATTTTCTATACTTCCATCTGAGCAATCATTGTGAAGCTTCCGGCATTAAATAACTTTTAGTTGGCAATTACAGTAAAACAGCAAAGGAAAAAAAAAGACCATCCTAGCCAAATGGTAATATGACACCCTTCATGAACCTTAAGTCAATCCCCCCATATATCTGTGCAAAATGAAACAACCATGCAAGCCTCTGGCTACTATAATTTTGGGCTTCAGAAAAAAATTCTTGTGCTTAGAGACTGTCTCCTTGCAGCATTCTTTTTACCTCCTGCCTAAAACTATCTAAAAACCAGACTTCGGTGATTGTCCATTTCCCTGAACTACAAACCTAGGCACAAATTATTCCCCCACCAAAAATAAGGCCAAACACTTGCCTTCTTAGTACACCCTAGTGGGTGCCAGGATGTGGTCAATTTAAGAAAAAGTTAAAGGTCATTCCATTAAAGGAGAAAATTATTAAACTTCTCTGAGCTTTTGCCTCCTCTCTAAAATGGGAAAATACTGTCAATCTAGTAACTTGGAAATAACAATAAAATAATATAAAGCATATACACTTATCTAATAAATATCGGTTCCCACTTCCCCTCTGTGGTATGTTTTTTCCTAATCTAGGGAATCCTTAAGCAAGAAGAGAAATCTTCATTTCAGAATAAGGAAAATTCCACACTGTCTCTTCCTATGGATAGGAGTTTGGGGTTGATGTTCTTTTCTCAGACTGCTTTAAATTTGCTTATTTTCTCCCGAATTTACTGTTTTCCAACTATCATTCTTTGGCCTTGTTGTTTATATACTTTTCTGAAAGTGCAGGATTCTGGCTGCTTTCCTAGTGTCTAAAATGTCAGTGTTTGGTTAACACTGTTAGAACAGCTCTGGCATTACTAATTGTCCTTGTTCTGATGTTCCTGCATCAAGAATAGAATTAAGGCAGTTGCCTTAATTCAACCCAGTTCAACCCAGACCGCCCTGTGGCCTTTGTTTCCAACTCTTGTTTTCTACTTCCTGGCCTCTCCTATAGAAAAGCCCTTATTCCCTCCCCATATTCCTGGCCTGTGGAGTTTTGTGGAGTTCTGTGGAGTTTATTTCCCTAAAATCGCTACAGTTTTCTGTTCTCTATCCATATCAAAACACCTCCTCACAGTATCCAGACTGTACAGACTCAGCCATGAAGAATGAATAGTAGCGATGATGGTGTCAACAGCGGCAGCGTGGTCATAAAATAAGGACCTGCACTTCTGCAGTCCACCACGCGCCAGAGCCTTTGCTGTGTGCCCTAAGTGCACGGCTCATGTCAGTCCTCACAGCCTCCCTCGGTAGCACTCTAACCCTCATCTCATAGATCAGGGGCCTTTGGTTGCTGACCCGTTCAGTGCATTGCTTACCCTGGTCTACAAAGCTGCCAAGCAGTAGAGCTGGTGTTGGAGCTGGAGCCTCGACTGTAAGTCTTTCAAATCTGAGCTCCAGCCTGCTGTCCACTATGCCATCTTGTGGCCGTGATCACCCACTGTGGTGGTGGTGGTGTTTGGGGGTTTTTTATGTGCTAGAGATTGAACCCAGGGCTTCACACTGTGGCACATCCCTAGCCATTATTATTATTATTATTATTAGCATTAGTATTATTACTAATCTTGAGGTAGAATATTGCTAAATTGCCCGGGCTGGGCTTGAATTTGCACTCAGCCTCCTACAGTTCTGGGATTCTAGGCATGTGCCACAACACCCAGCCCTAACCCCACTGTTTTGAAGGTAACAAGAAGTATTTATTAAATACTTATTCAGCCTGCCAGCATTGTGCTGAATAGTGAAGAGAGGACTATGAAACGAGAGTCTCCACCGTCACGTAATAAATTACAATCAGAGATCATCAGCCTCTAGTTTGGAAAGGGCTTTTAGAGCAGCTTGGAACAACTGGAATATGTGCAAAGGCCTGTGGTAACACAAGAACTAGAACTTAACCAGTTCCGAAGGGGTGGGGAGAACCTTTAAGGGTAGACAGGAGGCGGGACATCCCCAAGCCAATGCCAAGGACAGCCGAAGAGGCCGTCTTCCCTGGAGTGGGAGGTTTATGTTAGGATGTGGGGCATATTATGTTTGAAAATGTGTGAAAGCTACACTTCCAAACAGAAAAAATTCCCAGCTTCCAGGCCTACGTTTAGACCTATCGTGGGTTTAAGAATACTTGCCTATTGGCATGACATGCCTAAAACGGCATATCACGATACCTGTAGTAGATGGGCCACTCAGGTGGGAACTTCCAAGCAGGCTGCTTAGGTTACACTAACTGTACTGTTAAAAAGCAAACCAAAAACTATTTAGTTATATATTAAATATATGATATTTAAGCTGATGCCTTTGTACTTGGAAAACAGTAAGAATGAGCATATATATTTTCATTTGACCTTCATCAGAGCTTCCTCAAGTCAGTATTACCCTTGGTGTGCAAAGCAGACCTAGAGGCTTACCATAGTTGCACGATTTACCCCAAACCACACACTGTAGTTTAGGAAGCCTTCCTCCACACAGCAGCTTCTCATGGCTGGTTCTGGAGGTCAGTTTGAAAAAAGAGCTTGCACGGTCTATGGCCATACCACCCTGAACGCGCCCGATCTCGTCTGAAAAAAGGGCTTGCACGAAACAGTGGTATTCGGAGTTGAACCAAGGATCAGAAAGACATCGTGATGCCACCCCACTCACAGAATTGCTGGAGACTTTCCTCTATACACTCAGAGCCCCCTCCTTCCCAAATGAGAACATGTTATCATGGAACATTGCGAATGCCGAGGAGATGCCTCACACTCAAGGAGAGTGTGCTTGGTAGGCCTGGCCCATGAGCTTTCTGTCCATGTCTTACATACTTGCATGACAGGGATTCTTATTTATGCAACTAAAACAGGTTTTTGTACTCTCTCCACTGGTCCTTAATTTGTAGAATGCTGAAAAGATATGTTGTCACAAAGAAGCTCACAAGGCCACACAAAAGCAGAACTGCTCCTTTATTTTCTGGCTAAAAGTGTTGTCAAAGATATCAAGCAATTAAGTTGTAGCCCAGTTAAGCCAAAAGCGAAATGAAGTGTGGGTATGGGCAGAAAGCAGGGAATATTAATATACCTAATATGACCACAGCCATTTGCTATGTAGGTCTTAATTTTGTCTATTCTATGTCCCCTCATCTTCTGATTTCTCACATTCCAAAACTATCCCAGAAAAATATTTTCGGCTTTTGCTTCAAAAGCAGCGCTATTTGTGCCTATGCGTTCTGAAATAGGCCTGTCAAATTCAAAACCTAAATACAAGCCAACAGAAATCAGTTACTAGCAAATTAAGTTAATTTAATAAAATAGATGCCTAAAATACAATGTTTTTTTCCTGTAATCTTTCTCCCTAATTGCCAGACTAGACACTGGAGCAAACGTTGGTCTTCACACCAAGCCCTTTCTTTTGCCTTATGATGCGTGCTAGAGAGCCCTACATGAAAATCGTCTCCAGAACTCTTGCCCCCCCTAGTGGCAGCCTCCAAGCCCCCACCTACCAATTTTATTGTATGTAGCAACAATAAAAGTCAACCCCCCACCCCTCAAAAAGGACTAATGCTGTAGTAGATTGTTTGGGAAAGAAATGGAATATCCAAGTAGGCAACTTTCTAATTACAAGAAGTACAACTAGACAGTTAAATTTTCTGGTGGTCCCAAAGGTATCATGGGGGCTTGGGGTACTGAATCAAGAGCAAGAAAGCCAATTTCATATCCTAATTCTACCTCCAAGTGACTGTGTTCTCTTGATCTAGAGAGCCCAGATTTATGAATTTACAAATATATACCACAAGTAATAGATTTAGACTTTGTCCCATGTAGATTTTGTTTCAGGACAATAGTTAAAACTTATATAAAGGCAAATACCACAACTTCTCTTTGTATACAGTTTGTAGAACAAAAGTGTTCATGCTAAATCTCATGTCTCTACCCCTTCCTCTCCATTTCCAAAATGGAGAATGGATCCCTCCCTTCTGTTCACCAACTCTGCAGGAATTCTCTTCCAGGCTTCATATTGAGACAAAATGCATCATGGCTTAGTGAGCAATGTCAGTTCCTGGAGGAACTGATGTCACAAAAGCTGATCCATTCCAAAAACAAAACAAAAATGTATGGGGCGGAGGGTAATATCCTTTGCATGAGATCAGACTGGTGTAACATTTCTATGTGGAGAACACATCTGAATATGGAAGTCTAATGAACTCGGGGAGGTTGGCCAATATCGGGTACCCCTCCCACTTTTTCATAATCTCCTCGTTCTCTTTCCCCTCTCACGTTTCCTTCACCGTCTGTGGGGCCCAGCACTGCTAACCAGAGGCACTGGGAATGCCAAAGAGTGATGTGGAAGTTCCCTGTGTACCTCAGTGCGACAATTTCCTCTGGTCAGTTGGAAAGTATACTTCACCCGGGTTTTAGAAATTGATAAACTGAAACGTAGGCAGTGAAGGCTTTTGCCACTGACCATTGCTTCAGTCATAGCAAGACCAGAATAAAATTAAGAAGAAACTGTCTTTGAGCCTCCTGTTCTGGGTCTTCAATTCACAAATACTTTCTGTAGGGAAAAGAGAGATGCTACCGGTTGTAGGGAGGCCACCATCCTAATGTGTTTGGGGATTTGGCAAATTTTAATTTCTGCCCATTCCGGATGCAGAAACTGAATAGTGGTTTATAAAGTTCAATCATGCTGAGTCCTGTTCCTGGTCCTTGCTTCAGTTGTTAAAACACGGTCCTGAGCATACCCCAGGAGCCTTCCTGCTTCCCCAGTATCGAATGCCAAAAAGGCACCAGCGGACTTGACCAGGTTTCCATTTCTTTCTGTTGCTCCAGGATTCTTCTGCAGCCAGATGATTCCTTACAGATCTTGGCACCAGTGGAAGCTGATGTGGGTTTCTATACTTGCAATGCCACAAATGCCTTGGGATATGACTCTGTCTCCATTGCCGTCACATTAGCAGGTAAAAAAAAAAAACCTGTTCAGTTGTATTACAAAATCTTTGTCGAGTGAGTGTACATGAGGTGTCAAGTAGGCCCAAGTACACAGAGGTAAATGTCACAGACTTGTCCAGCAGGGAGTTTATAACTATGATGAAATTTAAGTACAGTGTGAGATACAGTGAAGTTAGTGCTGTAACTGATAACCAAAGAATATGCAAATACATCTCTTCCAGCTGGGAGGTCTTAGACTTGAGGTAAGTAGAATTTTGATAAGCAAAAAGGAGGGAAACATTCTGGGCAGAGAGAACACGAGAAGAGGTGATGTCTCAACATTAAAAGTGTATCAGGGAACATGAGTTGTGAGCTATGATCACTGAGTGCCCTTTCGGCATCCTGTCACTTCCCCTTGTCCACATGTTGCAGAAGACTTCAAGATGTACAGGTGGTGGGAATTCCACACTCACGCCTTGGAGCAGAAGAGTTCCCCAGAAACACTCTCTGATTCTGCTTTGCTTCGGTTGCTGGCTCTAATCCATCTGCCAACACTTAGCCTACATTCAGAGACATTAACACAACATTCTACACAGGGTGATTTAAGAATATAGCAACTCAGCACAATGTCCCCAAGGTTGTGGTCTTGTAGTAATGCACCCTTGTAAAACCTGTTTACATACAGGACAGATCCATGCCTTTGAAACAGAAAGAGACCTTAGATATCTGCTGGATCAGTGCACTCATTTCTCAGAGGCTGGGCAGTCAGGTCACACAGCTACCCAGCTGGTGGTGGGGACAAGCAGGGAACTGAGGGCAGCTAGTGACCAGCTCTGTGCCTCACTGATCCCACCAAAACAGGATCCTTTTCTCAGACCTAGGTCATAGAGTCTTTGTGGCGGTGTTGCATGTGTTTGTATTTATTCTTTTCAATCGCCGTCCCCTCAAATGATTCAGTAGATGCTAGAAAAGCTAACATCACCCCACACTGACCTCATCTGTCCATGCTGGGATTATGTTGTCATGCTGTACTCCAGTAACACATGCTACTCCCTTGGATATCTGTTTAGCAACAGTATTTCTGCCCCTATGATCCAAGGCTGATCTGGGAAGGGACCTTTAGCAGGCAGCTTTGCAGGGAAGATGAAAGTAAACAAGGGAGAAGGCAAGCTAAGCATCCCTGGGATGGATTAAAGACTGATATTATTACTGCCTGTTTTTCAGTGGACAAGACATTTGCTTTTCTCCTAATGTATTCCAGTTGCAATCTTTATCCTCCTCTTCATACAGAGTCCAGATGCTCAGCACCAGTCTTATTAAATCTCTTCTGCCATCCACCCTCCTACCTGCCTTAGCAAGGGAACCAATGACGTCCTTCCAGTTGCTAGCTAATAGTGGCTCTTCCCGGATTAACTCTTCTGTTTATATTTATTCAGCTCATGGCTCAGCTCTGCCACAGACTAAATATCCGTGGTTCACCCAAATTTAATAGGATTAATGGAAACCTGTCTGGAATTAACCAAGGCAATTGTAACATCAGGCTTGTCTTCAACTCTTTGAAGAGGAACTTTTGGTAGATACCAAAAGGTTCAAAGGCAGGAGAGATAAACAGGGCAGGGAGAGGCACCAGAGAAGAGAGGAAGAAGCTGACCCATGAAGTATGATCACAAACACCACAGCCAGGGCTTAGGGAGCCGAGTCCCTGTACTTCAGCTGCTGGGATTTGTTCAGGTCTGCTGGTGAATCTGCCATGCAGCACCTCAAATGTAAAGGTTCAAAGTGTGTATGTTGCTTAAGAATATATTTGCGTCTTTCATCCACACCAGCATGATGTCTGTACTCACAAAAGTAGGTGGCTCATCAGTTACTATGCAGTGAACTCTTGCCGAGTGTTCTGAGACATACAGTGACAAATAAAACCAGCATGTCCTGCTCTATGTTGTTTACAGATCAGTGAAGGCAATTGATGGATACATGGCTACCTAGAACTGAGAAATAACTATGGTTTACTTCAAATGTGTACACCACAATCTCGCTCAGCAGTATATAAAATATAACCTAAATATAATTTCATCTGAGGAGAATGGATGTTGAGCATTTAAAATCTTGATTACCAGTTATATTGCTTCTTTAGCTATATGATCTGGAACACAGTACATAACCTCATGAAGTCTTAGGTCTCATCTATAAAAATGAAGTTAGTAGAGGTTTCCAGGGTTGTGGTAAGGTAAAGAAATTTGTAAATGTGAAAAAATTCTCAGCCCAAGGCCTCGCATCTCACTCATGCTCAGTGAACATTAGGCTCCTTTTCTTTCTCTAAGTCTTCGAAATTAAACACATCCTGAAAACAAGGCTAAGATGTGAAAAACATTAGTCCTTGTATTAGTCAGTTTTTCATCATTGTGATCAAATATCTGAGAAAAGCAACTTAAAGGAGAAAAAATTTGTTTTGTATCATGGTTTCAGAGGTTTCAGTCCATGGTTAGCTGACTCCATTACTGTGGGCAGGAAGCCAGGCAGAACATCATAATAGAAAACATGGCAGAGGAAGCTGTTCCCCTCCTGAGAGCCACAGAACAGAGAGAGGGAAAGAGTCTCCAGAGAGGAAGTAGCTGTCTCCAGGGAGATGACCCCAGGATTCACCCCTTTCAACTAGGTTCCACTTCCTCTTTGTCCCCTGCCAATGATGTCATCACTGATGAAGTCACAGTGCCCATGAACCAATCACTGCTCAGAAGCTCATCATCAACCCAGCCTTCTGCACAGCCTTTGGGGGAAATAGATCCAAACCATGAGAGCCCGACTTTGCTTCCATATATTTTTCAATCTAAATCTCAACACTGGTATTCTTTCAAGTATGGACTTAGTTCATTTGCAGTCAAAGCCTCATGCTGCTGTTTTTAAAGCAATTACATTTTACCTGGACTTGAGGATAAATGTAGGCTAAAAAGAAGAAAATTCTTCTCTCAAGATAATCAAACATCCCCATGATTTCAAAAGGAAAGTATGGATTTGAGTCTTGCCATTGTGCCTGCCTTGACCAGATGCAGAGAACTTTATTTATAACAGTTCACAAGAGCAGGCATAACCTGGCTTGTGGGCTTGGGAGCCTCTGAGTCTAGGTTTGAATCTCAGCTCTGTCCCTTCCTATGCTGTGTAACTGAGAAGCTTCTTTAAATTTCCTGATTTAGTTTCATCTTCTATAAAGTGGTTATGAAAATGCCTGACTCAGAGAGTTCTTGTGAAGCCTGAGTGGATTCATCATATAAAATGCTTACAATTGTGCCTGGCACGTAGCAAGCACGCTGTATTTGTTTGATGTTATTATTATTGTCAAGGTCAACTTGCGTTTTCATGAAGGGAGAATCCTTTTCAGAGACCCAAATGCTCACCAGCCCTCTTTTCAGCTGCTTTGTCCAAGTCTTGGTGGCAGCTGGAGAAGCTGAAGGAGCTGTCTGGGAAGCGGTGGGAGCACCTGGGTCAGCGCAAAAGAAGCAGCCTGTGATGAGAGGCGCTTCTTGTGGGCCACAAAAAGAGGGGCCTGAGAGATTTCCACTGTCCTCCAGCAAGACATCTCCCACAGTTTGCCCCACGCCCTGGGTTTGGTGTGCCACCGATTCTGCCTCTCGGAGTCACTTTAGCCCCATTGCTTACCCTGCACAATTCTTCAAGTGTGGGATCACCACTTAGTGTCAGGCATATTAATTCCATCAAGCCTTCCCTGCCTTGTTCTGTTTGGGCCTACAAAATACTGTCTTTAGGGCCCTTTTCTTCCCTCCAGATTCATCCATATGTGTTCATTTTAGCTTCATCTTGTAAGCTCGGACACTTGAGAGTGCCTTGCCGTTGTCTCAGCAAGGAGATGGCCCGTGTTGCCCTTTCCAAAAGCTTCTCGGGGACAGCCCCAGAAACTCACAGTGCAGCCTTGTAGACCCAAAGACGCACACTTCCTCTCTCCTAAGTCTACTTAGCCGGATACCTGCTTCACTGCTCAGAGCAGAGATCAGAGTAGCTTACAGTGGAAAGAAAGACTGAACGGAGGAATTTTGGGAATGTCACCACAATAGCACAGGCCTAACATTTTTGAGTGCTGATTACTTGGTAGAGAGGTTACAACTAGGACTGGGTAAAGAGGAGTTTTCAATGTGGGCAGAGATAAGAACAGAGATTGGAGCACTCCCTTGGTGCAGATTCAGCTGCTGGCCAACTTCCAAATCCAAATGACATGGGCAGAGTTTTGAAGGAAAACAGTAGTTTCCCGGCAAATTGCTTCAGCCTGCGTCAGTGGCCCTTGGCCCACGTACCAATGCAGGTGTGCCCAGGTCTCCCCAGATGCGGACTCTTGGGGGGTCAGACCCGAAAGGGGGACATTTTTGGTTGTCACTGATTATATAAGATACAGAAGGGTTACTGTGAGGCCTGCCTGACATCAGCAATGGAAAACGAGAAAATAAGGGCAGAGGGATGGGTATATCTGTCACGGAAAGAAGAACACAGATGAGCTCACTGGGTTGCTCCCATGAAGGGACAGACAGAGAATATTTCCCCTTTCCTGGTATGCTTCTGTAGTTTTTTTGTGAGGTGAAGAGCTGACGCATACTGTGTCTAATAAAGAGATTCGAGAAGCTTCACTGGGAAAATTTTAATAAAAGATAGAGGATTTTTTTTATAAATTCTTTTTACTCTGCTCCTCCTCATCATGATGTAGAGCTGCAATAAAAATTGAGCAATTGTGTAAGATTTTTATAACATAAGTCATTCTGAACGGGCATTTCTAATCTGTTATCTAGAGGAGCATTTCGTTCATAGTGAACTACCCTTCGAGGGCCTCGTAAGTCATTCTGAACGGCATTTCTAATCTGTTATCTAGAGGAGCATTTCGTTCATAGTGAACTACCCTTCGAGGGCCTCGTAAGTCATTCTGAACGGCATTTCTAATCTGTTATCTGGAGGAGCATTCTGTCCATAGCGAGCTACCCTGCAAGCGCCTCATCACCATGCGAGGCTGAGAAAAGAACATCTGCTCTGG